TGAGAAGAGTCTGATCATCCTCTTGGCACTTCCCATTCATGGACTTGAACACATTAATGAGGTCCCTTTTTAGTCATCTCTTCTTGAGGCTGAACAGCCCCAACTCCTTCAGCCTTTCCTCATCACTGAGGTGCTCCAGTCCCTTCAGCATCTTCAGGATGCTCCGTGTCCTTCTTGTGCTGAAGAGCCCAGAACTGGGCACAGTCCTCCAGGTGTGGAGTTTATATAAAAATCCCCCCAAACTGTAGCCTGAAAATGTTAAGTCTTCTGCTTCTGGCGAGTCTGTCCCCTTCCTCTTCTTTTATTTTCTGTTGAAATGACCTGGAATGCAATATTGGAACCTGTTTTCAGCTTCTCATACAATTAACTTATGGCTTATGTGAGTATAAACTCCGTGGAACATTTTTTCCAGGACAAGTCCCCTTTTATCTAAGCCTCAAAAGTATTTGCAGCATTTCAGAGGCTTAGAACGTCAGATTTCTTGAAAGGGTGTGCCAAGGTTTCTTCACATTTTTTAATTAAACTCATGTTTTTCTAAAACTTTGAAGACTTTGTAACTTTTATCAGTAGTTTGGGCCCCTCACAGTCTGCTGTGCCATTTCTAGAACCAACACTGTGGAGCCAATGTGCTTCCAACCTGCCTGAACAACAGTGCTATTGCTATGGCATTGTTTAATCTTTCTTCCCTTGGCTGTGCCGACACATAAAGATGATTTTATGACCATTTGCAACAGTGTCTGTGTGTGTTGACGCAGCTGTGCTTTATTTAAGTAAGAAAAAAATGGAATCTGCAAATAGTCTTGACAGCTGTGGTTCATAGAGCACAGCAAATTTGCTGAGGGTGGCTCCTTAGGTAATTAATGATCATGGTTAAGTGTCATATATATATGACAATGTTTGTTATTACTGCCTTTTTATTGCTTTATTGGCATCAGCAGAGCAGCTAGGGATGTTAGGGGGTGTAGTCTTGGTGTTACTGGCACAGAGAGTCCTGGGAAGCTTCCAACTGTTCTCAAGAAGAAATGTGATCTATTTTAAAGTCCTTTCCAGCCTAATTTCCACCCAGAGATTCGTATGAGAGGCAAGTAACATCCTGCAGTGGTTATCTTAAAATAAGCTGATTCTGTTTACCACTTGTATTTATATCATTTAAGTACAGAGAACAGTGTCCTACACTTCTGGTTTCCTATAAACAAGTCTGACTGCAGTTGATGTTTAGGGCAAGATTTTGCCTGTGCACTTTGTCAGTAAACAGTAACCAAAATGGGAAGATCCAAATGCCTGGGCAACTTTTTTTTTTTCTTAATGCCCTGTTTATAGTAGTAATTAAACTTTACATAAATGTCTGTGTGCTAAGGCTTCTTTTTGTATGGGGTTAGCTTTATTTCCAAAGTTACAGTAACTGTGCATGTAATTAGTTTTCCACCTGCCTACAGTTTTGTTTCTGGGAGATTACAAAGCCTTTCCCTTTTATCTTCGTGCTCTTGAACTCTTTTCTTCTGGTAATAAGGAAGCTGCAGAAATGACTTGCAAAGGAGTTAGGAGCACAGCATATGGCAGGTGTTCTGCAAAGGCACAACTCCCTCGTCCACCACTTCTTAGGAGAATTGCTAAAATTTTGAGGGAGAGACTGAAAAAGTCTTTTGGAGTGGGGGAGGTTGAATGCAGAGTCATAATAGGCATTTCAGTATGTGCTTGGTCTTGCCTATAAAAATGTGTTTCTCTCCTCTTTGGTTGTATTCATTTCATTCTGAATTTGCTAGTTTCCCAGAGCTGAAAAATGAAAGCAGAGTTTCCAACCCACTTTTGTGGTTTTTTTTCTTGGATGACAGTGAAACTTATCATTCCTTGGGTTGAGGTGCAGAAACTGGAAAGAACCTCCAATGTCTTCATGACAGACACAGTCCGAGTCACTACTGCGAATAAAGAACGTGACTTCTCCACCTTCCTGAACATCACTGAGGCTTTCAGGATCATGGAGCAACTGGCAGATGTGACACTCCGAAGGCTACTGGATAATGAAATCTTTGAACTGGATCCAGGCCTACAGGATCCTACTCAGATTACCAAGAGGTAAAAAGCTAAGTTCTTCTCTCTGATTCCCAGTGGCAGGACCTGAAGGAATGGTCTGAAGTTGTGTCAGGGGAGGTTTAGGCTGGAGATTAGGAGAAGGTTCTTCCCCCAGAGGTGTTTGGGCACTGAACAGCTCCCAGGGCAGTGTCACAGCCCCAAGGCTGACAGAGCTCCAGAGGGGTTTGGCCAATGCTCTCAGCACAGGGTGTGATTGTCAGGTATGTCTGTACCGGGTCTGGAGTTGGACTAGATGGTCCTCAAGGGTCCCTTCCAACTCTGAGGATTTTGTGATTCTTGAAGTTGTTGTCTGAGCAGAGGTTGGATGGGCTTTGTGGTTTGGTGTGTTAGCTGGGTAAAAGTTCAAAGCTTTTCTTGACTGGGTGCAGAAGACATTTTATAATGTATTGTGGTGTAGCCAATAAGTGCATTTGAACTTGTGTGCAAGATAACCTTTTTCCATTTTATATTCTTCCCATAAACAGCACCATGGGGTTTTTTGTTTGTTTGCTTTAAAAGTACCATTCCTTGTAGAAGGGGAGATTACAGCAAGGGATATTTTCCATCTTCCCTGAAGAGCAACATTATTTTGCTTATAATTTGAGCAACGTGTAGGTGTTCCTAGTGCCATCATTACTGCTTTTGATCATGCCTGAAACATGGAATTTCCCACTAGTGTGATTGTCATAGCCAACTTAGCAAAGCAGTTAAAGGATTTAAGAAACCCACAGATTAATGTGCTGTTGTCAGCTCTACCCCATTGCATCCCCAAAATGCATCTCTGCATTCCTCTCCCACTGCAGTCCTGGGCTCTCAGGGAAAGATTGATAGCTCTTTCTTTGCTGGTAGCACAACACACAACTCTTGTGTTTTATTTGCTGCTCTGAGAAAGGGGAGGGAAAACTGCCCTGAGGAATTTTAGGTGGGCAGGATGGAATTGCCCAAACTGGAATTTGCCTGGGGCGTCAGGGTTAAGGTGCTGATTTAAAGTACTTCTTTTCTAAATGGGGTGTGAGTGGAGCACTTATCTCCTCCTGAATCATGCCCTTTCCTGCTCTTCCTTCCTCTGCCTCTGCCAGAGGTATGAAGGGAATCACCAGGGTGTTGCTTCCTGGATAAAACATAAGGAATGTGTGGTATCATTTCCCAAAGAAAGGATAGATGTGCCCGGCAGCTGTTTTATTATTTCTGAGGGGCATTTTTACAGCGATGTTTGGTATATATATCCTGGCTAAACACTTCTGCAAAGTTTCATGTTGGAGCTTAAAACAACAAAATGCACTTTCTGTGCAATTTCATATGTGCACACAATAGGGAAAATCATTACCACCAGGATTTCATCCATGATGTTGTCAAGGAACAGTGGTGAGCAGCCACGGGAACCTTTGCAGGCTGTATTTTTTTAATAGCCAAGGTTCCTTGAAGTACAAGAGCTGCTGCTTTTTTAACACTGTTTGTGTAACTGGATGTTGTCGACATTGTAGGATTTGGACCCAAGAAATGTAAGATATGTACTTTAGCTAATGTAGGACGTGGCTGTAATAGGTTATGTCTCAGCCCCTTTCCATGCTTTACCAGTCCACCCTCCTCCTGCTTTTGGGCTGGAAAGTTAGGTGCAAGAAGCGAAGTAAGTAAATCCAGAGGAGAATTTCAGCATCTACTGAATTTTAACTCATGTTGTCACTTCCTAAACCAGTCTTTGAATCAGGGGCACTTACTGAATGGAAAACGACAAAGAAAGGAAAATTACAGTTGCAAAGGAAAGTGGAAGCTTAGTAACATGTTGTAATAAGGGTCTCTCAGGGAATCAGCTTGTGGCATCTTTGAAAAGCAGTGTGTCTATCAGCAATCAGGCAACAGGAGCAATCCCACACATTTCCTCAAACAGGTTTTCTCCTCTCCTTCCTTCCAACTTAAGGAGAAAAGGAAAAAGGTTGGGGGGACAGAGGAGAAGGAAAGATAAAACTATATTTGCAGGAGAGTCCCTGGGCAAGATGTTCTCTAAGCTGTGCTGATGTGCTGTGACTTGAGATGGCAGAAAGGGAAATGTGAAAGATGTCAAAATCCCATTCCTCTGTATGCATCAGGTAGAGGTTGGATAAGTTGCCTTTTCTGGTGCCCTTTGTCACACTTCAGCAACCACTTTGATGTAATGTGATTAAGCAAGACAGTAGTTTGAATAGTGGATAAACTGGTTTTTAGTGCTAACATGTTTTGAGGGGGTTGTACTTTTTTTGGTGTGTGAAGCTTTTGTTGCTGCTTTTTTTTTCTTGAAGCAACTGTAGTACTACAGGAACAATAATTTTCCTCTCAACACCTTCCCCCTGATAATTGTCTTTGTTAATTCTTGTGTGTGATTTGGTAGCAGATAAGTCTCTGAAAATGAAAGCAATAATCCACATATCCTGAGAACTATTCCAGCTCTGTCAAATGAATGAAGTCGCTGTGTATGGCTTTTGTTTGCTAGGCTTTGTTTTGTGAGAGGCTTGTCTCAATATTTTTTAGTGCCATCATGGTTTGTGAATTCTACTTTCCAAAACCCAGAAACCTTTGCTGCTGTTTCTGAGGCTCCTGGGGTCATCTAGGCAGTGTGAGCTCAGCCCAGAAAGCCAATGGAATCCTGAGGTGCATCCAAAGGGAGTGTGGGCAGCAGGTCAAAGGAGGTGATTCTTCCCCTCTGCTCTGGTGAGACCCACCTGGAATACTGCACACAGTTCTGGTGTCCTCAACATAAGAAGGACATGGAACTGTTGGAGCAAGTGCACAGAAGGCCACAAAGTTGCTAACAGGACTGGAGCATCTCCCCTGTGAGGACAGGCTGAGGGAGTTGGGGCTGTTCAGCCTGGAGAAGAGAAGGTTGTGTGGTGACCTCAGAGCAACTTTTCAATATCTGAAGGGCCTACAAGGAGCCAGAGAGGGACTCTGTGTTAGGAACTGCAGTGACAGGACAAGGGGTAATAGGTTCAAACTGAAGGAGGGAAAGGCTAGTTTGGATTTGATAAAAAAGTTTTTTTCCTGTTCTGGTGGTGAGACACTGTCCCAGGTTGCCCAGGGAGGCTGTGGCTGCCCCAACCCTGGCAGGGTTCACAGCCAGGTTGGATGAGCCTTGAGCAACCTGCTCTGGTGGGAGGTGTCCCTGCCCAGGGCAGGGGTTGGGACTGGATGATCTGTAAGGTCCATTCCAACCCTTAAATTCTATGGTTCTGTGATCTTGCTGAGCAGTGAAGGGATGGAACTCTCAGAGACTGTGGGATTAGGCCCACGCTCTGTGACACAAATTATATCATGGCCAGAGTCAAGCAAGTTAGTATGCAGTTTTTTGTGCTGCTTAATGAAATGATAAAGCTCAGAACAAAGGATTAGGAAGGGATTAATGGCAGTTAAGATCATTGCCATAAAAAGTGAAGTAAAGCTCAGGTGTTTACTAACTAAAAATGCCATTTCTTGCAGACATAGTTATGTGCCATACCATTTTTACTGGAACATATGGGAACTATTTTTTTCTTTCTTTAGTAGGAAGGTTGGTAAAATCTCTGCTGTAGGTTTCTTGTACTTCTAATTTCCATCTCTTTCAGGATACAAGACTATCCATTGCATCCCTTAAATGTAATGAGGGAATTCACCAGAGCAGAACCTGCAATTTAAAAGCTTCAGTGCTAGTGTCAGTAAGGTTTCAGCAGCACGATACGTCTCCCCAGGCTGTAACCACAGCAGTTTCTTTTCTTCATGTCTAACTGTGAATTACCAATGGCTTTGCTTCCTATGAAGGCAGAGAAGGTTGTTAACACTGATCTAAGCTGAATGGAAATTGTTTGAAGTATCTTGAGTCATAAATGTCACTTCAGTCTGCATTAATTCCTTCAGAGAGGGAAACTTAGAATGCTTTAAACCTTGAGCAACAGGGAGAATGTGACTAGAAAGAGCCTCCTTTTGTTGCATCTCCCTGGCAAAAGGCAGAGTTTGGGTTATCTCTCTGTGTCACTTGTGATAGATGATTGCCTAATGTGTTTTTAAGGATTTCCAGTAATGGAAGTACCAGGATCCATACTGATACTTCAATGCTCTGTCAATTAAGAGTCCGAGGTCTAACTTGAATCTTTCATGCTGCTTTTTGAGTCTGTCACTTCTTGTTCTACCCAGTACTATTGAAGAGGTCAGATGTGCTCTCTTTCTTTAGAGCAACCATCTTTGTGTTTGGGGGTTGATGTGCATCTCCTTTATTTCTTTGAACTGCACTGCCAGGGTTTCCTTACCAGTCTGGATTTTAGCCATTCTGGTCACTCCTCTCTGGACATTTGTCAGCTGTGCCATACAGTGGCAGGAATGGGGTGGTGGGATACAGGATTGCCCCTGAAGCCTTGCTGGTGCTGACCAGGGCAGGAGCTGCACGACTGCAGCAATTCTGGGACTGCTGTGCTGCATCTTGGTGGCTGTTCACTTCTGCAGCCCAGCACAGTGCTCCTCTTCCTCCTGTGGGCTTGAGGCTGTTGGCTTATGTTCAGTTTGTGATCCTGTGTAACCCCAAGGTTTTTCTTTTCACTGGATGGCTCCCGGTGGAGTTATCTCCATGCTGCATTTGTGCAGCTTATGATGTACAGCTGAAAATACTTGTAATGCTTTTTTTTTTTCCCCCACACCATCCCTTAAGTTCGTGAATATCCGTCTGAAGCTGATCCTGTTGTTCTGCTCTTAAGCCTCTACCAGCCTCATATCATGTACAGGTTTAGTAATCACAAGCTCTTGGATCCATCACATAGATTGCTGATGAAGACATTGAACAGAAGCTAGTCCAGGACAGATTCCAAGGAGGTTCTCTTGATACAACTGTCCAATTTACCAGGAAGCCTTGGAAGGCTTCACCATCCCTGGAGGTTTTCAAGCTGAGACTGGATGTGGCACTTAGTGCCATGGTCTAGTGACCATGGTAGGGTTGGACTCAATGATCCTTGAAGACTTCCAACCTGGTTGATTCTGTGATTCTATGATTCGAAGGCTGCTTTTTTGGGTATTCTTTTTTAACTAGCTTGGTACAACAGCTTTTCACTTCAAGTTTTGCTAGTTCCATGAGAGGATATATCAAGGCTTTCATAAATACTGGCTTAAACATTCATTGCATCTCTTCCAAGTGTGCTCCAATTGTAGTGTTCCTGCTGCATAAAGGAATGATGTTTAGTTTTCATGTGCCCTGACAAGTCTATGTTGGCTCTTCGCAGATAACTTCTCCTGGCTTGCTTATGAGAAGCCTTTCTTCCCACACAACTTCAGCAGTTCTTTCAATAAACAAGATAAATGTTGTTGGATGTGTTATTTCCAAAATCTCTAACTTTCTGGAGTCTGAACAGCAAGAAGAATCAAGTAATCAGCCTCTCAAATCGAGAGGTCAGCCAGTCTGTTTAGATTTTGGATAGGCAGCAAGTGACTCAGCAGAGCTCAAATCTTGCCAAGTTGGCTTCTGCTGGATTTGAAGCACAAACAAACACTGGACAGTGAGGACAGCATTTAAGCATCCTGATACTTTCAGGCATTTTGTTAGCCTTGTGTGTTATTTCCTTTCATTTGAAACTCTTGGAAGGTAATGTAGGGGTCATGCACAAGGAGTTATCACAGTTCAGGATTGCCATTCACTTTGAAGTGCTGGACTTGGAGGCAGTCCAGGATCCCACAACATACAAGTTGGGAGCTGTGCTCAGAAGGAATTGCTGAGTTTTCTGAAAAGTAGGGAACAAGGCAGTTGCATCTTCTTGCCTTTTATTCTTCTGATGCTTGTGTAAATACTCGTAAACATAATTTTTACCTAACGATGGCTTTCATTTCTTAAGTACTGCTCAGTACTCTGCCTTTGCTTGGAAACCAAACCAGCATGGAAATTGTTAAGTGAGAGTAGAAATTTTCAAACAGATGGAGCTGCAAGGTAGAAAGGTTGTGTTTCTATTCCAGGTTGGAGGTATTGTGAAGCTCAGAATGGAAGCTGTGGGACCTGGTGGACCAGCCACTGTGTCTTTGCTGTATCATATTTAAACAATTGCCTTGTCTTGTTTCAGGAGCTAATTTTATTTGCGGGTTTTTTGGAGTTGCAGGGTTGGGTTTTTTGAACCAGCTCTATTTTTGCTTGGCTGTGTTTATGAAGGGAAGCCATTGCTTTAAGCCCTAGAATTTGCCTGCCTAACAGGAAATATATATACTTCTTGTTTGAGCCCACGGCAGTAGGTGCTGAGAGCATCTCATCCCTGTGCTATCATCTTCCATTCCAGGATCTCTCCTCCAAGCAGGCTGGTCCCTGTTTGGGCACTTGTTCCTGGGGCAGCCCTGGCTGCAGTGTGGTTTCTGTGGTGGCCCCATGTGAGCTGTGTGAGTCATGGGGGGACAGGCAGTTCCAGGGATGTTGGGGTTGGCAGCCTTCCCTCTGGTAGAGGTTGAGGAGGAGTGGATGAAGCATTGGTGAATTTACTTCATTTCAGATGTGGGAAATACCATCCTTCTTCAGCTTAACATCTTCTGGTTTCTTGCCCTGCACATGAAACCCAAGCCCCAGGAAATGCAGCAAAATGCTGCAAAATTCAGAAGGTTCAGGTTTTGGAGCATTAGAAACAGTCAGCTCAGAAATAACAGACAACCTCTGTCTCAACAGAGGTCCCACTCTTCTGTATAATGCTTCTTCTCAAACCAAGGTCTAGAAATCACCACCACTGAGGAGATGCAGGGAGGGTCTTACCTTCTCAGCACAATAACAGGAGAGCAGAGCTCTACCCAGACCTGACTGCAGATGCTATCAGCAGCATTCATCTGTGCTGTGCAGAAATGGAAAATATTTTAGTGGTGAGTTAACTAGGAGGCATATCCTGATCCAGCTTTGTCACAATAGCAGATCGCTGTGGGCACTTATCAGAGCTGCTCTCGCTGTGGAATTTTAACTCAGGAGCAACCTTTCTGTCTTCCTTCACAAAGAGGCTTTCTCTTTGTTCTCTGTGAAAAACAGGAGACTGTTTGTCTGTTTTCCTTGGATAATATTATTAAGGAAGATAATGCTTGAGAAGGAAACATCAGCTGAATGCTGGTTGAGTGCGTTCTGTCTTCTCTGTTGGTTGCAGATACAGATCCTTCTTCTCAGGTCTCAGTTTATTCTGGATTGTCTTCCTCCCTGTTTCACATGGCTTTGTTGCTGTATGTTTTTCTATGGATTAAACTAAAAAACAAACAATTGATTTACTTGCTGAAGCAGAGGCTTCATTTGCCTCAACTTAACTTTTTAACAGCAGGGCTGGGGTGGGGGGAAGGTGTCTGCAGGAGAGGAGGGTGAAGGAAGGAGCAGAGAGGGGATTTACAGCACAAGGTGCCACTCCCTGTTATGCTTCAGCCCACGCTTTAAATTCTTTCAATGGCACAAAGTCAAGCTTTTTTTAAAAATCCTTTTCTTTTCCCTAAGGTGAATCATGTTTGGAAAAATTTACTTGTAGTAAAGAACATGATAGAATTCAAGCCCTGATGTTTCTGGTGCTTCTGTTGATGAGCTAATAGCCATGGCCTGTTTATAATGTAATTGCTTAGCTCTTTGAATTACTGCAGGCTTCTTCATTAGGAAAGGAGGAGGAAAAAAAAAAATCCCCAAAGCCAAGTCTTTATAACCATGGCTCAGTAATGAAAGTTTAATTTATTTAAACTTTTCCCCTCCACACAAATGTGGATGGTGACTGGAAGGAAGCCAAGTCCAAACTGAATGTGGCTGGTGCTGTTACACCCAACTGACCTGAAACTGTTTTGGATTTTCCAACTGTTCTGAGAGCTCCCAGAGACTGATCCCTCTGCAAGTAGTCAATGCCACCATCGTTACCTCTTCTATTACTGACCTCTTTGAGCAAATGCATTACTTTTGGGTGCAGGTGCAGGTCCCTGGGGTGATGTTGGTAATGTTACTGGGAAGGGAAACAAGGAACATAAAGCTAATCTCCATTGCTTAATGTATGTTCATCAGATGAAAGATTTAGTTGTCTCCTGGGCATTGAAATCTGTAACTCTTTGAGGCTGGAAAGTTGTACAGCTACCATAGAAAGTGCATGGTTAAATAATAATTGGAACCCCCCCAAAACAACAAATTTAAATTGCTGTCCTTCCTAGTTGCTTTTGACCTTATTGTTAAACAAGCAATCATTGATAACATTTTTCTTTTATATTTCAAAGTTGGTCTTTTACAGCTGTGTTCACATTGCCCCTGAAGATTGCTGTGCACAGTGTTTTTATTCTGTACCCCTAAGGCCTTGTTGAGGCTAACAAGAAAAGCAAACTTTGCACTGTATGTCCTGACTTTTGGGATCCTGTGATTCGTTCTTACTTCTCTTTCCTTAAGGGATCTTGAAGCCAGAGCACAGAACGAGTTCTTTCGGGCCTTCTTCAGATTGCCCAGGAAGGAGAAGCTGCATGAAGTTGTGGACTGTTCTCTCTGGACGCCGTTCAGTCGCTGTCACACAGTGGGAAGGATGTACACTTCAGACAGTTATATCTGTTTTGCCAGCAAAGAGAATGGCTGCTGCAATGTTATCATCCCACTTAGAGAGGTAGAGTTGTTTCATTTCGAGTCCTTATCTGTGTTTTCCTCCCCACTGCTTGACTTATCTGCAAACTGTTGTTTGATGAAAAAGAGTAGGATGCTTGTGTGTGTCCTGCCTAAAGGGTTGTTGTAAAGCTTGTTCTGGGATCATTAGGCCTGTGTTCCTACAAATGTGGGTGATTCAACATGATCCTTGAAGTATGGGTAGGTGATGCAGCAGGACAGAGCACTGCAAAAGCAGAGTCTGCTCGGTCCAAGACTTGGACAGGACTCCTCTCCCAGTTCCACAAACACATCTGTCCAGCTTGATGTTGATGGAGACTTCAGCTTAGACCCATTCCTTGCCTAGGATCAACACTTAGAAGTGTTGACACTCTCCCTCCATAGACAACCTCTAACAAACCTGTGGATACTTTGCCAAGCCGTAGGGCAGAGGATAAAAGGGAATGTTGCGGATGCAGTGATGAGCTGACAGATTTCCATGAAGTCAGAGCTGTATTCATATGGAGGGATAGTGCATGGGAAGGTGGTGGGAGTAGCAGAGGAGAAGAAGCTGTCAGCTAACACCTGCCTGATCTGCTGTGGATACAAGGCTGTTAGGATCTCATAATTAAAGCTTTCCTTTCATCCTTGACTAATAACAGAGTAACACCTAAATCATATCTGAACTGTAGCAACTTACCTTCCACTGTCACAGAAACAGAAAACAGTAAGAGAACAGTGTTATATATTGATTCAGAAACAGGGAAAAACAGTGGTTTTGTTATCTTCAAAAGTGTAAATTTCTTACTCCATCCTAAACAGTGGTTTTGTTATCTTCAAAAGTTTAAATTTCCTACTCCATCCCCCAGAATTTGATCAAGTTAATCCTTTCATCAATCTTTTTTTTAAATCATATATCCCTTTCTTATATTTCCCCTCAGTCTACTGTCCAGACATGAGGTGCAAAGTCATTTAGAAATTTAAAAAAAAAAAGAAAAAAGAGCTGGCATATCTTTTGGTATCAGCTTTGAGCTTCTAAAGAGAGTATGAACTTAAGGTGATAGGATGTGTTTGATCAACAAAAGCTAATGTGAATAACCACATTTAAAGCGTGTGTGCATAGGAATGCTGTGTTTGTACATCTTGGTACAGGTAGAATGTTTGAAGATGTTGCTGTGGATGTGGTGCCTAATGTGTTTTCTGTAATGTTTCTGGAAAAGGTGATCAGTATAGAGAAGATGGAGGACACAAGCCTTCTCCCTAATCCCATCATTGTTAGCATCAGGAGCAAGACAGCCTTTCAGTTCATTGAGCTGAAGGACAGGGATACGTTGGTGGAGAACCTGCTCCAGAGGCTAAAAGAAGTGAACTCCAGCAACTCAGTGCACTGCAACAACTTGCAAAATAACAACCAGGTACTGATCTCTCTCTCTCTCATCTCTCTCTCTCTCTGTCTTCTCTCTTCATGTTCATCCATTAGCTCATTGTCTTTGGGAGGTTGATCTTGGGCCACTGCTGTCTCCTGTCATCTTTAAAGACCTGCCTGATGGGCAGAGCACACCCACAACATGGTTGTGACTGACACTGAGGGAAGCAATGAATATGGTGGGTAGCAGGACTCTCCTTCATAGAGACCTCAACAATCCACAGTCTGGAGAAAAAGGCTGATAGAGACCTCATGAAGTTCAGCAAAAGCAAATGTTAAACCTGGCACAGTAACCCCATGCAACAAGGAGGGGTTGGTTGGAGAACAGCCATGTAGAAAAGGTGGGAGGATCATGATGGACAACACTTTGACCTTGTAAGTCAGCAGTAAGCTCTTACAGTGAGGAAGTCCAACACCATAATCAGGTTGTACTAGCAGGATTGTAACCAGCAGGTCATGGGATGTTATTATTCCCTTTTATTCAGCACTTCTGAGGCTGATCAAGAGTACTGTGTCCAGTTTTGACTCCGTTCCGCTACACGAGAAAAGCATTGACAAATTAGATCAAGTCTAGTGGAGAGCTGCAGATGGTCAGGGGCTGGAGCACATGCTTTATAAGCAGAGGTTGAGGGAGCAGGGCTTCTTCAGCCAGTCTTCTGCACGATAGTGGGGAGTTAGAAGATGGAGGCAGACTCTTCTTGGATGCACCTGTTGAGAGACAAGTAGCCACAGCCTCAAGATGCAGCAAGGGAAAATCCAACCAGACAAAATGGAAGATTCCTTCTCAAGGGTGGGCAGAGCTGGACCAAGCTACCTGGAGGGTCTTTGGACTCTGCTTTCTTGCAGCTCCTCAACTTGTCTGGGCACAGACACCAGCAACCAGGTCTGAGGGCCCCTGCTTTGAGCAGGGGATTGAAAAAGATGGTCCCCTCCAACCTAAATTGTTCTCTGATTCTGTTTGTCAAATCCTAATAGTAGAGTATTGTTTGGTACCTTGTCACCAAGGACACTTGTAATTCGCTACCAACTTCTGGCTGAAAGTAACAACTCTTTCCTTGACATGCAGATGATTTGTATAAAGTCTTGAGTAAGACCTTTCCTCCTGAAAGGTGACCTAAAAGGTTTTGATGCAAAAGGCAAAGGGTTACCCAGCTGTGTGTCTTGAGGACAGTTGAAGATGTTGTTCTTAGCCTCTTTTCAGTCATTACCACTTTGATTCTGCATTGCAGAACACTCTTACCTATGGATCCCTGTGTGTGCCAAGGGACACTGAGCCTGCACAGCTGGGAACAGAGGCTTCACAAGGGAAGGAGAGAAGTGAGTGTGAACAGGAGAACAGTTACTTGCTCAATGCAGAAGCACTAAGGTCGGACTTTCATCAGTCAGGAATGTCGGGCCTTGATTTTGGAAAGGTATGTAACATTTGGGAGAAGTTGTAGGAGTTTTAGGTTTGGATGTTTTGTCTGAGTCACCATCCCTGGAAATGTTTAAGAGGTATTTGATGTTGGAGGATCTGGTTTAGGGTTTAGGGGTTCCAGCAGTGACAGGTTAATGGTTGGACTGGATGATCTTAGAGGTCTCCTCCAGCCTTGATGGTTCTAGGATTCTATGATTTTGTTTCTACAGAAGCTGGGCCAACGGTCAGACAGATAAGCATTTTTAGTCAAGTGCACTCTGTATGGGTTGGAGAAGTCAGGTATGGGCTAACAGCTTTCCTATTCACTTGGATTTTTTTATTCTCCCCATTTTGTTCCAGTGAATATTTATAATCTCCTCCCTGTGTGGTGAATTGGACATTCAAAATGGGGAAAGCTGTAGTCCCTAGAGCAGACTTCCCATTTCCCTTGATAATGGAAACACCTCATGCAATGTCTGATATGTAAAATGTTTCTGTTTGCCAGTTTTTACATGCATGTGATTTGTTCTTCTGAAATACATCTTCTTGTCCCCAGTCTAGGGAGCAAATCAAAGAGAGCCTGTGGGATGACCATTTCGTGGAGTACGGCAGGACCGTGTGCATGTTTCGCACAGAGAAAATCAGGAAGCTTGTTGCTATGGGAATTCCTGAATCCTTAAGAGGCAAACTCTGGCTGCTCTTCTCAGGTGGGCATGCTTAGAAATGTTGGCTGAAGGCATCATCTGGTTTTGGACATGGTAAAAGATTTAGGCAAGAGATCTCCCAAGGGCAATGAAACTGAACTAATTAATGCCAGGAAGTACCTACATAAATCTGTAAAAATTTTATCTCAGGATGACATCACATATGTGCAGGAGAATCAAAGTAGCATCTTTAGAAGCCCCAACCCTGGCAGTGTTCACAGCCAGGTTGGCTGAGCCTTGAGCAACCTGCTCTGGTGGGAGGTGTCCCTGCCCAGGACAGGGGTTGGGACTAGATGATCTCTAAGCTCCATTCCAGCCCCTAAAATTCTATGATTCTATGATTTTCTTCATCTGTGTAATTTAAAATTAGGATCATGTTTTCATAAAACAATGCTCATCTTCAAGCAACAATTAGATTGTAGCATAAATATTGATTTAACCCTAGACAAATCAGATTATTGCAAAATAATGACATCTCCAAGTCAGCAGTCCTGCTCCTGCTTCTTGTTGCATGTTGGCACAGCTTGGAGAAACTGGAGACAGAAAAAACCCAACTCATTTCATCGACAGGTCTGGTAGAGCCAGAGTGTGCTTACAATATGATCTCAAATTTAGTCCTTAATCCAGTATATTGGAGAAGAGAAGGTTGTGTGGAGACCTCAGAACACCTTCCAGGATCTGAAGGGCTTACAGAGGGAGAGGAACTCTTTGTTAGGAGCTGCAGTGACAGGACAAGGGGCAATGGGTACAAATCGAAGGAGGGAAAGTCTAGGTTGGATGTGAGAAAAACGTTTTTCCCTTTGAGGGTGGTGAGACACTGTCCCAGGTTGCCCAGGGAGGCTGTGGCTGCCCCACCCCTGGCAGTGTTCACAGCCAGGTTGGATGAGCCTTGAGCAACCTGCTCTGGTGGGAGCTGTCCCTGTCCACAGCAGAGTGTTGGTACTAGTTGATCTTTAAGGTCCCTTCCACCCCAAACCATTCTGTGATTCTGTAATATTTCTGCTGGAGAAGTCTTCTGCTCAGTTAAGCATTTTTAAATGTTAATTGTGTCACATAAGTTTTGCTAATGCCTATTTTATTTTCAAGACACGTTTTCTGCTGGGACTTCCTCTTTTAGGTCTGGAAATTTCAGTAAATTCACAACCCTTGGGGAAAACCATCTTGATTACATCCCTTTGAGCAGCAATCCCACAACACTTAGTTTAGCATCATCTTAATATCCATTTCCATCTTCCTCCCTCTGCCTCCAGACGCTGAGACAGATCTGGCGTCGCATCCTGGGTACTATGTGCACTTGGTGGAGACCTCCATGGGGAAGTGCTGCATGGCAACGGAGGAGATCGAGCGCGACCTGCACCGCTCGCTGCCCGAGCACCCTGCCTTCCAGAGCGAGCCTGGCATCGCTGCCCTCAGGAGGGTCCTCACAGCCTATGCACACAGGAACCCCAAAATAGGATACTGCCAGGTGAGGAATTCGCGCTGCTAAAATAGGATACTGCCAGGTGAGGAATTCACACTGCTGCAAGGCTTCCTGCTTGCTTTTTCCCCCCTTCTTTTTGCAAACTGCGTTTGGAGTTATAGGAGGGGAAAAAACAAAAGTGTTTCTGATGCACTTTTGAACTCCTGCTTGCTTTTTCCCCCCTTCTTTTGGCAAACTGCGTTTGGAGTTACATGAGGGAAAAAAAGAACTGTTTCTGATGCACTTTTGAACAAGAGAAGCATTTCTTGCATAATACTTGGATGCAGTGCAGAGCAAATTGGCCTGTACAGATGAGAGACATGTAGTGCACTGGGAAAGAGGTTTAGTGAACCTTTTTGCCACTTTCTTCCAAAACTGATGGTAAATGATGCAAGTACTTTGCCCAGTTGAAACAATAACTTTAACTTCTGTGCAGCTCCCTGAATCCTGGTTAGCATCAGGCCACTCCTGATACAGGAAGGGTGGGGAAAGCAGCCCCAACACATCTTGCACTATCAGTTCCCTACTCTGTATCTGGGCAAATCCAGTACTGAGCTTTTCTCCATTGTTTCCTTTTGCTCTTATGAAAAACAGTACACACAAGCTTGAAAAACTTGTTATGCCTTTTGGGTTGCAATTCTATATTTGCTGTCTATTGTCTCTCTTTTTTGCTGAGTTTTTTTTAGCTGTTCCCATCATGTTGGGCTACTTTTGTTGTTTTAAAAATAGCCACAATTGAGCTTTTGTCAGTAGGATTTGCTGTCACTAACAAATCCCATTTTCTTCTTTGCCCTGGTAAGTCCATGAATATTTTGACCTCGGTGTTGCTGTTGTATGCCAAAGAGGAAGAAGCATTTTGGCTGCTGGTTGCTGTGTGTGAGCGAATGCTGCCAGATTACTTCAACCACCGAGTGATAGGTGAGCTCTCTTCTTGCAAACTGGGAAGCTGAATGTCATTGGGGGTGTGTAAAATGCTCAGGGTCTGCTGAGGTCCAGACCCTGCAGATGAGGTGGTCCATCCCTGCAGTATGCAGGGACAGCAGCAGCCACTGCTCAGGTTCCAGCCAGGGTTGTTTTTGGTTTGAAGGGTTTGAACTGCAAGGTCTATAAATACATGTTCAGCTTTAGAGTTTGTCATCTTCTTTCCTGTTGGTCAGAAGGCAGTGACACTGTTGCCTGTTAGGTAAAAATAGAAGAGCTTGCGGGTCTTGGTTAGGGGTGTTCATTGCCAGAGACTCAAGATGAACCTGAGAAAATTCTGCTAGGGTAGCTATTTGTGATCTGACAAAGTGCCTGGCTGCTGGAGTCGTGCAGGCTTGCATCTGAACCAGCCCTGTGTAAGGAGGGCTGATCCAAACCCCTCTGAATGTGAGGTGCTGCTTTTAGAGGTGAGCCCTGTCCCCGTGCAGAGTGCCACGTGCTGCCTATGCTGTCTCCTGCTCTTTGCAGTGCAGCTCTCTTTAAGACTTGTGCAAACATCTGCCTAATGCACAGAGACAGAGGGGCTGAGCAGCTCCACACGTGTGTTTGGATGTTGTGTGTATATGGTATGTGTACAAGAAAGAGTATTTTTTCTTTGCAGTCACTTCCTCCCCTGACAGAAGTGTTTGATAGCTTTTCCCTCTTTAATGCTAACCTTAGTCCTTAGCTACAGCATCTGCTGGTACAGCATCACTAGTAGCAAAGGGAGGGATCAGGGTCACTTGTGAGGAGATGGGGATAGGAGGAAATCCCTGGTGGTAGTGATTCTGGGAGGCAGAAATGGTATAGCCACTCCTGTGCTGCCTGGGGAGTGGGAGGAGACATCTGAGAAGATTTCCAGTCTTTTCCTTGAAAGATGGGATTGTCATACCTCCCTCCTGACACTGTGTTGCTGCACAGTTACTGTCTTGTCTCTGAACTGGCAGGAAGGTAAGCTAAAGCAGAGTTATTCCAAAGTTAGCTGGATGCTTAGGATGTTTTGTGGTGCTGTGAATGCCACTGGTATTTTCAACTACTGGACTGGGCGTTGTAATTGTCCCATGGATCAGAATTTTGGTTCTTTTCTTCAAAGGTGACTTTAAACTCCCATGTTTGCCTTCTTCCTTGATTAAAAGAGAAAACAGTTTATCTGTCCTCGTGCATTTCTAGATATCATCAGCATTCTTTGAGTTACTGATGGCTTTGATGCTTGCTGGGTTGCTGCCCCTGAGTAGCATTCTCCACACCCAAACCAGTTGTCCCACTTGGCCACCCACATCACTGCCTTGAGTTGTACTTAATTTGGGGTTTGTATCTTGCCTGTCACTTGACATGGCTACAGCCTACATTGTTTGAGTGCTGAGAGTCTCAGTTGTCTGGCTGTTTTCCTGTCATTTGTACCCTCAGGAAAGAGTTCTGTGACTCTAGAAGATGAACTACCATGGCTCACCACAGTGTGAAGAGCCAGGAGCTTCAGCTTGGAAGTTCCCCTGCTCTCCCTAGTCCAGTGGCAGTGCTGTAGTTTTGCAATGTGGTTGCTTCACTGAGCAGTTACTTCTGCAGCTTTGATACAGTCATAAGCTGAGACAGGGGAGATTCAGATGAGATGTTAGGAAATTTTTTTCCCTGTTAGGGTGGTCAGGCACTGGAATAGATTGCCCAGGGAAGTGGTGGGATCACCATCCCTGGAAGTGTTTAAGAGGTGTCTGGATCTGGTGCTGGAGGTTTAGGGTTTAAGGGGTTGCAGCAGAGTGGCAGGTGAATGTTTGGACTGGATGATCTTTGAGGTCTCCTCCAACCTTGATGATTCTATGATTTACCCTAGAACTCAGTGTGCCCAGATTGGTGCTGCTGATCTTCTCCACCCTGCCCCTCCTCTGGTTCCTGTTCCTTGAGTTAATGTTCTTGGCTGCACATTTCAGTTGACCTTCTTTTTTGATTTGCAACCAGCCCTTGTCTAAACTTTGTATTGTTTCTTCCTGCATAACACTTCCAAGACCCAACTTTTCCTCTTTGCACTGCCAACACTGTTGTCCAAATTCTCATCTCTCTGTATCTTTGGTGATCTCTGACCTTGCTACCTGTCACTGTGCTTTTCCTCTCCAGTGTCAGCCAGTGATCTCTGCAGTCTGAACAGCTACTGAATTCATGACCTTGGTTTAACAGGCCTTCTTGGCTCCATCTTCTCTCCAGTCTTTTCTTTATGACTTACAAAATAGTCTGTTTATTTATTTGCTTCTTTATTTATGTATCATTTCTGCTTTCAAACTTAGGTAATTCAGTTCTGCTCAACCTTTTTACTTTCATGACATGACCATCTCCCTCCTTCAGCCTTGCCAGCTATGCTCTGTCTTTTCACAGCCCTTTTCATCCTTTCACTGCTTGCAAATGGGGACAATCTTGCAGGCAGGGCTCCTCCCTCAGGAATTCCCTCTGTCCTTCTCCCTTCTGCAATGCATAGAGGAAATTACAAGCAGATAGTTTGCAAGACAGAAACAGGTTGGACTTGGGTCAAGAGTGGTGGCAAGGGTCATGCATATTGTGTTCTCATGTTAACATGACTTCTCCATCCCCTGCATAAACCAGCAGGCCATCTTACCCCTCCTTGACTGTTAGACTGTTATCACCTTGACAATGAAATTCTAGAAACACTGAAAACCTTCTCTGATTTGCCTTTTCAGTCCTGGAGATGTCATTTAGCTTGTGTGTTGGGTCATCCTTGTTTAAAGGGATGCCCTGGTGCTTTCCTACCTCATCATCATCTCATGCTGCAATACTTTAGGGATTCAGTTGCTTGGAATTCATGGTTTCTGGGAGACTCATAAAAAGGTGTTCAGAAAAGGCCCTTTGAAAACACCTGTTTGACTTTCATCTGCAATGTCAGCACTATAATAAGATCTGTGAAAGATCTGGGCAGCATTGCACGTTGCTTTTAAACCTCTGTTTTTCCCAGTGCTGTCTGAGTCTGCAGTGATGTTTTTATATGTCTTGCCTATCTGTCTCTGGCTTTCTTCAAATACCTCTGCAACCAGCTCTGGTTTTTTGGGTCCGTGTTAACTATGGCCATAAAATTGTTTGCATTAAACTTATTAAATAAACCCCAAACAGAAATTGTCCTCTGTTAAGTAACCCTAGTCTGGTTTCTGTTCTGTTTTCTTTACCCTTCTTGTTTATGACCATTGGCATGAGAAAGGTTTCTTTTCCAAGCACCATGCTTGATGTGTTTCTGAAGAGCTCTTTGCATGTCCCTGGGCACTCATTTTTCATTTGTGGTGCTGTAATGTTGGTTCAGACACCAGCAGAAGCTCTTTATGGCTTGATGAGAAAAGTCATAGAAATGTCATAACTGGTGTTTTTTCCCCCCGTGATTTGGATGCAGACCCAAAAGCTACTGTGTCTCTGCCACAAATTGTCCAGGTCATATTCTGCTTCTGCACAACAGAAGCTTTGAGTTCTAGGGATATGTATGTCTCAGGAATTTCACAGCCACCAAAGCTGTTTCCTAGGAAGTAATTGAAACCAGCAGTGAGG